TGTCACGATTTCTGTCGTGTAATGTACTGTGTTGCTTGTATATAATACACAGCGCATGCACTGAAGATATAATGGCGCTATGTTGTTGGTATATTGTACAGATCTAAATATAAAGTATAGCATCTATATATGCACTGGTCGACAACTATTTGGAGGAGCGGACCATCTGGTATAATGCACTTATGTTATATCTATAATATTGTTTGATTTCTTGGCCCGGGCGTTCCAATCGACTGGGCGGGTGCTGCGGCCTGTCACGTCGAGTCTTCGACTTCTCGGCAATTACTGGGGGTAGCAGCGGGTTCCTCGTCCTTCGTAAGTCGTCCTGGTCGGCGCACTTCATGAAATCGACACTGGTCGATCGACGATACCCGACGGGATTGACACTATTTTACAACACAAATATAGTGGCCTTATATAGGCCGCTTTCGCGTCAATACACAATTTACCTGGGAGGAAGTCGTGATGCAACATGCCCCTCCGGCTACAGAGATCGCCCCTGATCTTTCTAGCCAATACACAATGCGCAAAATTAAACTTATTAACCACAACATACAAAATTAAAAAACAAACTTCAAACAAATTTTTTTTCACATGTTTAACACGGCCGGTCGCCATATCCATATTACCATTTGCGCGTCATTCGTCTCCGAATATACGGCGGTCGAGCTCGCCCTTGCTGTGGTAGGTTGCGATGTGCACTTGGCCACCGACGAATCCTCACACGCGTTCTTTCGTTATTCTGACGTTGCTCCGCTTTCATCAACCTCGATACTATAGTTTTTTCCATGCTGCTCCGCGTGCCTGTTCGGCACGCTTTCGTTTGTACGTCCTTGTCGGCTTTCGATTGGGCATTGTAGAAATACTGCAAACCTGAAATTAATTTTTCCGTGCCTGCTGGCGTTATTAGTCCTTGGCGGCTGTATCTAGCTAAGGCAGCGTTGGTTTGATAAGCGTACTGGTATCCCGATCATTGTTTACTAAAATTTCTACATCCGGAGCGTCGACCCGTACCAGTCCTTCCTGTGCCCCTTTTTTCATCGGTTCTTTCATACCATGTGCATGTGACTTAGTTAACGTTTGCGAAAACACTGCATGTTTTCTTCAGCTTACAGTCTTGGGATTTTTCAGCTGGTCTTCCATAATTTTCATCATTTCTTTTCGCCATTTCTTGCATGCACCAAGCGCATTCATTCCTAGCATTAGTGGTTCTCCTCCAGCCCTTGGCTGCACGAACATATGCACAGGCCTGCACATTTCCCTTAAGGCCATGCTAAGTTCTATCTCCCCTAACAATTCCATTGTCTGGCCTGACGCTGTTCTTAAAGTGGGTAGTCCCACATTGCTCTGAAACGTTCTCATGGTTTCGTCCCCTTTCTTGGCTCTTAACTGCTCCAAACCATCCGCTGTCATTTAGGAAACCATTGCACCGCTGTCTGTTAGTGTTGTCATCGGTCCCACTTCGCAAAGTATCTCAACAACTAGTTTTTCCCAACCACTTCTTTCGGTTCGTGTCCTTCTACTCGTTCTACTTTTAGCTCAATAGCGCCCGCACTTAGTTTCTTTTTACCTCCAGAGTCTGTGGCTATTTTATGAACGGCTGCTGTTAGGCAAATTCGAGCAGTATGGCCTCTTTCACCACAAACAACAAATTAAGGGTTGTCTACCCCTTTCTTTTCCGCTCTCCGGTCTTTTCAAAGTACGATTACTTGCCTCTGGCACCCGCTGCTCTTGAACTCGCGGTGCCACATATCTTCCATTACCTTCATTTCTCTTAGCATTGTAGTAGTTAGCTCTGTCTACCGACTACAAACTTCTCGTGTTTCCCCTACTTCTTTCCGGGTTGAGACGAGTGGACGTCAACCCGTCAACGTCTTCGGGAAAACGTCAACCCCCCTTTCCATTCCATTGCCACTTTTATAACCCCTCATACAATATCGCACACGCTCATACTCGAGCGCGGCTTCTTTTACGGCTACGTATGCGCCCGCTGGACGTGCGGTAGACACAGCGGCCATTACTCTCGTCACTAACTCCGCATTATCCCGCACTGCCTCTGTGACTATCCCACACTTCCTTTCATCAATAAACTCCTGATCCGCGTATAACATGGAGGCTATGCTGCCGCGACCTTTTTATCAACGTACGCGAAGAACTCGACCGTAGGTTGCCATGGCCTCAGTCTTATACTGCTCAACTGATTCTGGAATCTAATCCGTGTCACCCTAGAAGAATCCGTTAAGGCTTTACGAAGCGTCATTACTAACTCCGGAAAACTGTTCCCCTGCGCACATGTTCTGGGATCCCGAGGAATGCGTCAGGGGCCATCCCTTCGAGAAAAGCCTTTAAATACCTAATTTTCATGTGATCTTCCATCTCAAATCTTAACAAAAACTCCTCAATGAAACCCGTAAACCTTTGCCCATTTTCTCCTACTTTCCTTGGAAACTTTTACAGTGGAGACAGCTAAGCCTGCATTCGCTGGCTGCATCGCAACATTATCTTCATTAACTCTCTTTCTGAGGCCCCACTATTCCCAGCGCTAGCTCCAATTCTTAATTCATCAATGCTTGATAACTCATCAGAATACTTACGCTGCACTTTTCAATCTTGATTCCTACTGCATCCATAACGCGGTATCTGCCTCTCCTTCTTCATCCACGTTTGTTGGTAATATCGCCTTGGCACCACTGACTGCTTGTTCTGGAAAACATCATTATTTTCGCGGTCCCTGGCCTACCGTGGCCAGTTATTTCTCTTTCTAAGGCTTTGGGGTCCATTCCATGTCTGGTGACGGCCTTCCCTCCATTCTGTTTCGTCGCGCTCCGCTGTTTCTCTCGTTGCTTCTATACCTCTCTCCTCTTGCATTGGCTGCTGCATCTCACCATCCTCTTCAAGAAGCCTTTCTATATCCTGCAATGCATTTCGTTTAGGTTGGTCCGCCTCTTTTTTCCTATCCCTTCTGGACAGTTCATCCTGAAGCTGCTTTATCCGTTCCTTAGCCTTTCTTAGCTCTGCCGCGGTTCCACTATATTTCTAATTACGCCCCTGATTGCAGTGCATTCCTCAGCTGTTACTAACTCAGCATCTTGCTTTGCAGCCACTGGCACCTTCGCCAATTTACGCGGTGTGCTCACTCCAAAACTACGGGCTGCTTCACCCCACGCTTTACTTTCCTTACCCAATGAACTGCTTGCGCACTTAACTGCCTCTTCTGTTACTTTTCTAGTTATCTCCTTCCACTCTTTTTGAAACCCTATTACTCCTTCAAGGCACTTCTCCAATTTCCTCGTCACCAGGTTTAAATGATACTTTCAGCAATTCTCAAGAATAAAGATACCCGTCAAATAAACTTTGATGTCAGGCAAGCTCTTCCTCAAAGACTAAATTGCATAAGAACTCATACATCAGAGGCGAACCTACTAGTCTTGCAGTTGCTCTGTAAGAAAAAGGTATAAAAATGGATATATCAAAAAATGCGGCAAACTTTCACTTAGTATTTTTCTAATGTCTCAAATATAAAATTTTCGAGTGTTCTTAACACTTGCAGTCGGGGCTTGTATCACTCGCAGCCGCCTTTTCGTAGCTTTCTTTAGAGTGGAAGTGATTTTTAGTTTAAACGGTTTCTAGCTCTTCCGGAAAACTTTTTTATGCTATGAGCTCTGCATTTGTAGTGTTTCTGGAGGTGAAAGCTGTAGCTGCGTCAATATTATTTGCAGTCATGTCATATTTGTTGCATTCAAAAGCTTGCTTGAATTGCTGTGGCCTCTCGCGGTGAAGAACTCTAGCGAAACCACTTTTTTAATAAGAACATCGAACACGTTCTGGCTGTTACGAGGCGATGGTCAGAGTGTACGGAGACAGTTGATTCCGAAATGATGGACACAACTTCGCTTTTCTGTGTGAATGTGGTGGTTTCGAAACACGCTCTTTGGCACTTGCCACGTCCAGAGCGTTACAGAAAAAATAATTGGCCAACGCGCGGGCTGCCCGTGCGAAGATGCGTTTTTTGCAGGGTTCCTCGCAATTTTTGCCGCTACCGGCATCGGTTTTTTCGGCAAATGCTTCAAGCTAAACAAATTAAGACTGGCTGCCAGAAC